TATTGTGGGCCAAATAGAACTTAAGTTATCCTCCGGAAACTGTTTTCAGACTTAAGGTAATAGTGACCTTGACCTTTGACCCCAAAACCAATAGGGGTCTTCTACATAATATTGACAATCATCCTATGAAGTTTGAATATTGTGGGTCAAATTGAACTTAGGTTATGCTCCGAAAACTGTTTTCAATATTAAGGTAATAGTGACCTTGACCTTTGACCTTGACACCCCAAAATCAATAGGGGTCTTCTACCCAATATGAACAGTCATCCTAAAAAGTTGAATATTGTGGGTCAAATGGAGCTTAAATTATGCTCCGGAAACTGTTTTCAGTTTTAAGGTAATAGTGACCTTGACCTTTGACCTTTTGACCCCAAAATCAATAGGGAACTTCTACCCAATATGAACAATCATCCTATGAAGTTTGAATATTGTGGGCCAAATGGAACTTAAGTTATGCTCCGGAAACCAAATTTCTAACGGACGGACAGACGGACGCCAGGGGGTATAACATAATATGCCGTTTCGGGCATATAAAAATATTTTAAATACTATGGATAAGATAATAATGACTTATATAAATTCAACAAACATAAACATTGTTTATATGTATTTCCCTTTACTTTCATTTATATACAAGCATATATGCAGGACAACAAATTGTACTACGAGTTGCTCTTTTGGGTATGGACAATATATCCCCTTAGACCATGTTGACGCAGAAGCGAGATACTGAACAGATCTTTGACATTGATGTCCTTCAATTAGTCTGTTTCTTTTTTCTATTTCTGCAATTTACCTGCGTTCTGATAATTAAGAAAGGAGGTTTTAATAGATGCACAAATGAATGCAACCTTTCTTTTTCAGAAATCAAGAAGTAAAAGTATAAAGCAAGCAAATAACCCAAGTCAATGACTTTGCCGTCTTGACATTCATGAGTAAAAAACATGAGGTTCAGTATCGGGACTGCTTTCATACCAGTAAATATATACCATGGCACCAATTGCAAAAATTCCTAGTACTTGCATTCATTCCATATAGATTAATAAATAAATAAAATAATTATGCGTTTGCAGAAAATATGGAATAAACTTCATCCTCTTAACAACACTATATTAAAAATATAATCGATAATCACAGTCCTGCTGAACTTAATTAAATGCGTAACTGGTGTTGCAAACACTCTGACAAATAGCCGTCATCACTAGAATATATAAACATTATATTATTATCTCATTTTTATCAGACATTCTATAAATGCACGACATGTCAAATTAAAAAAAAAATGATTGAAAAACTTAAGATTCACTATAGAACAATATATTATAAGTCAAACATAAACTAAGTAGAAAGGAAAATTTAAGTCATTTGCCATCACAAGCTTTAATATTGATTGATTTGAAAGTTTAAAGACATAAGACGTGGTTTGAAGTCGTCATTATGCTTTTAATGCAGAAACTATGACTACTTATTTGGACTTTGAAAGAAGGGTGGTCCATCGGAAGCATTAATCACAACACAATTACATGAAAATTACAGACTCGGTTTGATTGAGTCTGTACATGAGGGATAATGAAAAAGTACAACATCACTCACGCCCCCTAGCACCGGTTAGAGCGATACTCATTAAACATTGGGATAGTTAATACGTATACCAATGTCTGTGAGCTCTTCCGGTTTAGTAACAAAACAACACTTATTTCACTGTTATTTGTATAACACAAATATGGATTCTGGGAATAGTAATTGCTAAAACACTCTTATTTAGATATAAATGAATATCAATCAGTATTGAAATATGAAAAATCTGAACAATTTCTGAAGTCAAATGATAAGTAGACCATTGATGAACTACTTTCTTTTTTTAAATGAATATTAATTAGCGAGCCATTCTTTGCGGAGTAGTTCAGGTCATTTACTTCAAACCACTTGCTTAAAAATGAAGTAGAATTGAAATATTAAAAAGATACATCAACAAATTTATTTGATAGTCATAGACAAAGCAACAGCAGTTTTTTCTATCTTAATTAACTTGTAGTAAAGCCTTTGTATTTTGCCACTTAACCAATGTTCCAAGAAGGGACGTTATATTTCTATCACTTGTAATTACACCTTTTCATAAAGAATGTCTTAAATTTGATCAGAAATAGGGCTCGATTACGGCTTGATTCCGTTCCGAAGTTTTTAAGGGACTCTGATCCCCTTTCAAAATTCCATTTTATTTATTTCAGCCCATTGTTTTCTTGTTAAGGGGACACGCTTTCTATTAGTTATGGAATATCACGAAAGTGTCACATTGAAGGTTCTATGATAACCGCGGTAAAAACAAATCTGCGGATGTTTCTCAATTCAAAGTTTTACCATTTCATGTTTAAATGTTAAATTCTGCTTAAGCCAGTGCTAGGGCGATGGAGAGTAGTTTGCACTTTACAGTACCGTCCATGAACAGACTCAATCAACAGAGCCTGCAATATTTTCAATTTTGTCGTTATGGGCTTTTTTTTAGGGATTCTTATTTTCTCTATTTTTTCGGCTTTATTATGTGAAATGCACATCTGCTTAGTTAGACCATACACAAATGGCCCTGGGAATACAGCGTGGGATAGGTTATGACGGAAAGATTTCTGCCAGTGGTTGATGAAAGTGGTAATAGATACATGATTATGAAAGAAAGAAATATTTCTAAAATAAAATATTTAGTAGGAGTCCCCGTTCGAGTTTGACGATCCCGTAAAGGAACATGATCTTGACGTCCAACATATGCATGGTTGCCATTAAAAGTGTTACATAAATAACAAATGAGGCGATTTAAATTTGTGTTCCTTTTTCTCTTAATGTAAACTAAGAACGGAATTATCCCAACTTATTTCTGTCTCAATATACGAATTTGGCTACACATGTAAATGCATGCGCTGATACAACATTTCGAACTCTTAAACCCTTATAGTGTATGTTTGCCGATATCATTCCGGTATAAACAAACAATACACGCACCTGAGGCAAAGACCTTGGGCTTGATTTCCATGTTACGATCAGGTCTGTATTTTCCTTCGGCAATTCAAGAGTGCGTTTATCGCAATCCAATCGGAAACACGTGTTCATGTCTGTGACGGGCATACGAGACAGTTTTACTCACCGAATCGTTTTGGAACTCCTTTCATGTCATTTTTACTCTACTTTCATTTGCGATATATGGCCACCAGCCAATCTACAGTAGAATCTCCAACTTTCTGTGAACTACATGGATTGCCTACTAAAATAAAATTCTAAAATGGTTAACAATTTTCTGTAAAGTCTAGTTATGATGCCGTTATGATATTGTGAGATTCATGTTGAGGTATGATCGACTCTGTACTGAAACCTTGTTTGGGTATATCAGGTTTGTTTTATGCCACGAATTATCAAGGACTATAAACAAAATTTGACAAAAAATAATATCATATTTTTAATGAATGTACATATATAAAATATACAAATTTGAAAAGATAAGATTATTAAACATTTACTTGTAAACACTTGCGCATGGTAAATTGATTTGTTTTAGGAGCATATGTATATAAATATCTTTTTAAATTCTGGAATATGTAGGAGAATTTTATTTATTTAACATATAAAAATAATAAGTTCTTGAAATAGACATTTAAAGCCCCAATAGTATAAAAAAACAATCGATAATTGTTCAATTGGTTAGTTTCATTTAGAATGGAATATTGTTTGATTCCCAAAATTTGACTTAAAACCTTGCATATGAACATTGACCTACAAATGACAGAATGACAATCAGTTCATAAATAGCAGAAAACGGTTTTCATTAAAAGCTAAAATATCGTCTGCCTACAATGCAAGTAGTGAATGTATTAATTTTAGATTTAGCAAAAATGAATTAAAAGTGTGAATTGTTTTTATAGTCCCCATTAGTAGATACTGTAAAAGGATATTTTGCTTTTCTAGCAGTTTATCATGAGAGGGGAACAGTACAGAGTGAATGCAATCGACAGTACAAATGTAAATAAACATTTATATGCACACCTTATTACAGGCAGAGTTGGGATTTTGTGAAACGGAAATGGAAGTTACTTCTTATAAAAATTAAAGTTGAAAGATTGCACAAATTGTTTTTCGTAATGTCAATTTTGGTTCCAATGAAATGTATCATTTAAAAATGCCTTGGACGATATTTGTGTTATTTTTTTGTTTATTTTTCATACATGTAACTTTACATCGTTCGCAAACGTTATTTTAAAAGTAGTTAAATTCTGACAAAGCGCCATTGATTTGTACAATCGATTTCAATATTCGATTGGTAAATATGATGTTGTTCAACATTGTAAAACATGTTGTCATAAATTGTAATTTTTGTTTAGAAAGGTGAGATTCTTTAAAGAAGTAGAATATTTGCTTTGGTACTTCTACAGTTAAAAGTAGAAAAATAACATTATATGCATACCTTAAAAAGACATTTAATTTCGTGATGATTAACAACTTATTGTAAAGTTTTCAAATGGTTTATAGGTTTGTTATTTCAATTATACATGTGTAAAATACATTTCTATAAAAAAAAGTTGTACATCTTTTGATAAGTGTTAATAGTTTCTATAATTTCAAATATAAGAAACCTGTCACAAAACAATATGATCAACATCTTATTTCCTCATGATAACATCATTTAAATACCAATGATTAAACTTAGTTTAGAGGTACTGTTCTTAAATCATGTAAACGCTGAACAACAGACGCTAACCAAAAAGTCAATTTTATAAAAGTTTGATAAAGTTATCAAATATACATTTCTATACAATATTACAGAAAGAAATTATTGCAAAAATGCCTCAATATATTTAGTAATTGTAAACAGTGTCAAAAACCTATACTCCTTTAAAAAAATGAAATATATAAAAGTCTGGTTAATGTGCGAAATATACAATTATGTTATTACAAAATAATTGTAGCATAGTTATTTCATTTATTGTTTAAGTTATAACGTATATCTACTTTACAAATATTCAACCGAAGCAGTTTATTATCAGTCGAAACGAACTAACTATAAATTCGACGAATTTTAATGGTCTCCATATGAGCATGGTGTCCCTTCCATTCATACCAGTTTGTACCCTTTCCGTAGTCGATAGAGCAATACAGTCCGTTAAGGTTTGAATGATGTCATGTATCGTACCACCACGCACCGTGAAATGTAATTGCACAATTACGAGAACTGTCGGGTCGTTTTTTCTATCCATTGTAGTAAACTTCATTCCATTTTGAAACATCAGAGCATCACCTGCAGTACCAGAGTATCCGCCAACATACAGCTTGTAACTAGATTCAGAATCACCAATAAAAATCTGACTGTATTCGGCATATGCCGATTCTCCTTGATAGCTTGTTAGGTCAACCCGAAGCTGATATTTGTCTTGGCTGGTTATCTCATATATAAAGCGGTTTCCAAGATAGAAGTTATCTCTGAGGTTACCAAAACCAGTCTCATATTCGTCCCATGTCTTATAAAAGTCGCGTATAGAAACTCCTCCTTTGTATAACAGTCCATTTACCGCCTGATTTGTCCATATCGCAACGTACTGAGATGCCTTTCTTATTGGAAGTAGGGTAAATAGTGTAAATGCCAGTTTTATTGTGACTTTCATTTTAAATATCACCACAATCAATAGGTTTCGATTTATGCACATCTACCATAAGAGTGGACATATCTGCAATCATGTCTCTCTTTAACTCCGCCATATCTGTTTTTGTGGCATGGTCTGTCCTGTTTGAATCGCACGGACACTTTAGACAATTTGAAATGTTAGCAAATATTTGCTCTTAGTATTCGTCTGTGTCAGAAGATTTATCAAAATCTGACTCGCTACTTTCATCACTTTGCATCTTTACCAGTGGAATATATATGTTATTTTCATGTTTGGCAGCAACATATCCAACAAAAGCAGTTATGATAAGTAGCTTACACATTTTGGTTGATTTCCCTTCAACCATAAGTTAATTGTATATGGAGATGGTTTTTTTTATATCTCAAACTGTTAATCGAAGTTTACTTTATTAACAATCTGCGGTGAACGACTTGAAATTGCAAAATGCAAATGAAAAACTCGAACAGAGTATAAATAACTACTCTTCATTTATAAACAAAGGAGATTCTAACAATCCGAGGAAATAAAGTAGAAAGTTAAAAAAACTATCCTGTACAGTTTATTTTAGAACGAACTTTTACACTTTATTTCATTACGGCAAGAACTATCCTTTACAGTTTAGTTATCTTAGAATGACAAGAACTATCCTTTTCATTTTAGTTTAGAATGGCCAATGACTCCCAGGTCTCATTTTGTTATTTTGAAATGTCCAATGAAAAATATCTGTTATTCAGTTCTTCCCTGTAAATTTTACAGGAAGTTAAACTGAACATAGACCGGCCTTCGGCCGGAAAAGCAATGTCATCATTGTGGGGCAGCTTAAATAAAAGTAATATACTTTTATGCAGCTTTGAAGAAAATGTTTAGAAAATACATTTTATTAGCGTTTTCTTATATTTTACACATGTATAAATTTATCTTGTTTGATGTAATTAGTTTTCTGTCAGTCTATCTGTCAATTGAGCCGATTAAGCAAACAATAAGGTTCAAATTCATACATTGTACATCTATTATATATCAATTACACAAAAATCGGATGCAATCATGTCCGTATCTTGAATTTAATACATTTTTATATATCTTGTATTTATCTTAATTAATGTGTCACGTATTTTGTTTTAAATACAATTTATAGTGAGGTAAATGGGATTGCATTCAACCAAAGGATCATTGGTTCGAGCCAAACTCAGGGAAAAAATATTCTTATATGACACCAGAACTAGTTAGGTCAAGTAAGCCGACCCGACAGTGATTGATAAAAGTTGCATGTACTTGTTTCACAATCGAGTTGATACAAATATGTTAAAACTTGATATAAAAACATATCTTATGATTTGTACTGCTATTTTCTATTACACAGCGTGTGTTTGCAAATTATATGTTTTGTCCATTTTCCGAATTAGAAATTCGGTAGGGGTCACTGATACAGTGTCTATTGAATATCTAAGATAAAATTAATAAAGATTGGTTTAGATAATTTACGAAAAATATTAAATTGATGATTTTTGTATTTTTCTTATAAGAAAGGTAACTTTATACAAGGATAACAAATAAACGTAGGCCTCCTTCACTATCCCAAATTAATGTGCAAAAGTATTCTCATATAGGGTCACTGAAAATAGCACGTCAAAGATGTAAATAAGTTAACTACTTTCAACAATGAGCAAGCCATATTTGTACGAAAATCAATCGCGAATGTCCTAATGGATCTACTTTAGAAGTTCAAGTTTTGTGTCATAATACTTTTTTTACTTTTCTCTGGTAAAAGAGATATGCAGGTAAATATATTGTTTAAATCGGAAATCCTCTGATTCCTTTTAAAGGTTAAATACAATAGATTTACCTGTCAGATCGCAATCTAAAGAAAACAATTTACATACGGGTTTGTTATAGACATCGTCTGTACAGCTTTGTAATCTTTGGGGAAAACACATTTATAGACAATTTGATTGGTTGTAGCCTGTTTAATTTTTTCACAATTATTTTTATCATATATGTTTTCATTTTGATGAATGTCTTGACGAAATGCTCTGTTCTTTTTCAGCGTCCGATAAAGTAAACGGGCAACGCATCAGGACATTTGATGTAGGTCATTGACCTTTAACTTAGGGATGTAATTCTTGTGCACACCACGTCGTCATTATGTTCAACATGTTATTGCATAGTTTTCTTTTTTTCAAAATCAAAACAAGAATAACAAATTTCTTGACCCACCCGACATGAATAACAATGCACCTTCATTTAAAAAAATCCTTTGAGGTCAGGTCTATGAACTTGACCTTTGAGCTTCAGACCTAGGTTCAGTGTGTGATAAAGTGCCTCAACGTGCTACAAATTTATGCATTTTGTTTTAAAAACACCTATTTATGATAAAGTTACTGACCGGAAACAAAGTGTTGAAACTCGTTAAGAAGTTAGAGGACGGACAAATGGCATCTTAAAATCTGTCCACTCCACCTTCCGGTTTTATGCCCTGTTCCTGTTTGATGTTCCACCGCTACAAGTTTTTCAAATGATTTTCTGTGGCTTGATATGTTAAACATTCAAGTTTCGTCAGTATATTGCTCATATTTTTTATTCTAAAGACAGAATATGAACATTGGGGATAGAATTTATAATAATAAATATATACCATTAATTGATTTACCTGGTTTTCAGCCAAAAATATACGGTGAAGGTAAATAATATTTTCTGAAAAATTTAAGCGGCGGAAGACCTGGCTTCAGGCACAAGCAGGCCCCTAATTAGAATCACCGACTTTCTGTGAGCTGCATCGATAGATATAAAATGCTTAAATAAGTATGACGCTTTTGTGATATCTTTTATGATTAATGATAGGAAGTAAAAAGAGATAGGATATATATCAAGTATGTGTTGATTTTGACACAGCTTTAACGAATTATCAAGGATTATAGACAAAATTTGACAAAAAATATTTTGATAGCTTTTAATGAATGTACATATATAAAGTAAACAATTTTTAAGATTATTAAACATTTTATTATCTATACTTGCAACTTAATTTCTATCAGTTACATAAGCATTTAAATACCTATTAAAATTTTGGCATATCATGGAAAATTCATATCTATTTAGAATTTCGTTTACTGTATAGCGCATTATATCTGCGGTGTCAAATGTTGGCGTTTTTTAAAGTGTTTTGAATTGGCGGGGTCATAAATTGGCGCAAACGCTTTTAGACCGCCAAATTAAAACACTTGTTGGCATAAATATGGGGTCACGAATTGGCGATTACAAATAAAGAATAAAAAAAAAAATAAAAATAACACCGGTCACGCAGTAGTTGACTGTCCTCGTTTATTTTACGGCATACGGTATACCTATGCTTGGTCACCTTTATCTTTACATCGTGCTAATTCTGAACGATTTTAATAAAAACATGAACTATTTTTGTTATTATTTGTATCGTGATTAGAGAGATGTTTCTCAAATGAATAGGAATAACATTAGCACGAGCAATTTGTTGAGCTGATATCACAAATATTTTGCTATTTATAGGTATATATAGGCGCCGCTAAACCATGTATCATTTATTTAGCTGTATTTTTTCAACTTGTAAGTTAGGCCACAAGCAAGAAGTTAAATATAACATAAAATCATAGTTAATACTAGTAATGGATAAATTGTTGAAACGGGGTACGTCAAAAGTGTTCGTGCAGCGGGAGGGGTTGTGAATACAAAGTGTAACATGATTCCATATCTGATTTTTATATGACATTTAGATTTGTTTCTCGTCGTGTGATCATCTTCGTAATAAATACAGTATATAGATATATATAGATATATAATTAAATGAGTTTCGTACCAAGACTTAAAAATAAACAAATTCTTTTCAGCTTACTTGTAATGTTTATTTTTATTACAAATAATCAAGGGAGATTACTCGGACAAACCAAAGCTATTTTACCATGAGTTGTCTACCTTTCAAAGAATAATGGCGATGATCTAAAATGGCGGTGCTTTAAATTGGCGGTGTTTTGAATTGGCGCTAATGACCCTGACCGCCAATATAGCCAAATATAAACCTCCGCCAAAATAAGTACTTATTTCATGTACCAAATTATTGACACTACGCAATTGATATTGTTACATCGTTTTCAGTTCTCGATTGGTGAATATGACATTTAATATTTTATTCAACGTTGTGAATTACACTTTTATCAAAAATCGCAACAGAAAATATTCTAAAAAAGTGACTGTTTAAAAAATTGAATGTAGAATAGTGCTTTATGAGCAATAGTTGTAAAATATAGATATTTCAATACTTATTTTATCTTTTAGCAAGAACTAAGACATTATTTGATTTCGTGATGATTGATAACATAATGAAAAGTTTTCAAATAGCTTTATGGTTTGTTATCATAAATGTAATATACATTTCTATAAATGACAAGTAGTAATAAATTGTGAAACATCTTTAGATAAGTGTTAATAGTCTCTATGATTTACATGGCTTTTATCATTAAAATATTGTTTTAATATGAAACGTGTCACTTTATTTACAAAATAAAGTTTTCAACATTTAATTTAACACCTGGTCCAATGATTAAACGTAAAAAATTATGGAAACAAAGTGATCCCTTGGAAGCATTAATCACAACAAAATAGCATAAGAATTGCAGACTCGGTTTGATTGAGTCTGTACATGAGGAATAATGAATAAATGCAACATCCCTCACGCCCCCTAGCACCGGCTTGAGCGGTACTCAATTCTCAACACTTTATAGTGTTGGCATCAATGATCCCGAAGGACCAGAAAATATAACAACACTGAAGTGAAGTACGGGGCAACTTTTTACGGCTGCCACACGGCACTTGACACCTGCTGTTGTGAAGTACAAAATTCTGGAAACAAAGTGATCCCTCGGAAGTATCGGTACTTTAACTTTTAACAATAGACGCTAACCCATTAATTCAATGTTATAAAGTGTAATAAAGACATCAAATATACATTTATATCAAATATTACAAAGGAAATT